TAATTTAAAATATATAAAAATTATTTCTAGTATTATCATTATTATCAACTTTAGAATATTATTTAAACTTATAATTTATAGCACACTTTATTTATAAAATAGATATAGTTTATTTATACGTATTAAATCTTATTTTCTAGTTTTTGATCAATAAATAATGTTTAAAATATTATTATATTTATCACTAAATTTATAATATAAAAAAATATATAGATTATTTAAAAATAATACACTATACAAATTTAAGCTAGAATTTTCAAAATATATGTTCAATTTAGATCTACGTTAGTTGAGTCTGCAGAACTTGTCAAATTTTATAAATTATTCTTTACTGGAAACCATCTGGTTTAAACATTGTCAATATTATGTTAATATTTTATCGGAATAAATGAACACGTTTGCATATCAGAATAATCGCGCTATTATTGTATAGCTCCTGTACAAAAGCGTTATAAACGCAATATACAAATGTACAAAACAAAATCTTCAGATGGAAAGCTAACTTTTGAATGTAAAATTGTAGATTCTCATTGCACGTGTATTTTATAGACTTCTTATAGAGATAAAATACCGCTTAATTCAAATATTGTGATATTTAGTGAGAAATATTACAATTGAAATACTACAACGGTTCTATATAGACTAGACTTTCTGAAAACGACTGTAATATGGTTTCTAATTTCATATGTATTAAATATAAAGGATGTTATTCATTTACCAAAGAGGCACCTCTCCCTTTAATTGGGCAACAGAACGATGTACATTTATATAACCTTAGTAAAAACTTTACTGGTAATAATAAAGCATGAGCTACAACGCCATTTTGGCAAATTCAGACCAGAGGACAAACTGTATACCATTGGCTTCGGACTATGACCCTTATCAGTACAGGGGCGGCTTCGCCTTCATAACATCCTTCGAGAAGGGTTATGTAATCGGTTAAATTTACCAAACAGGTGTTTAAACTGGTGAAGTGTCAAGGGCCGATTTTCAGGCAAAATATATACATTTATAAATTTAAGGCCTCTTTCCCGTCAATATTAATGTTTAAACTAAGCACAATCTTGACCGTAGTCGCAGACCAGCTGACACAGGTCGGTGACAAAGCTACCAGATTTGACAAAATAAACAAATGTAATCAAACTAGAATGATATATATAATATATGCCATACTAGTATATTGTGAAGAGGTTTTATTGATGTTGATTATTTTGACTTTCGTTTGTTTTCCTTGGCTATTCTCTCTCTTCTTCTTTCTAGATTATTACTTTAAAATTCAATCATTCAGTAGAAGAGATGCTTTGCTAGCTTTTTCATAATGAAAAAGAGATTTATTGTTAAAGAGTAATCAATTATATCTAAACCAGGCTAATTAAACTGATGACGATTTCCTTCTACTTCAGAGGATTCCAATCATCTCTACAAATAAACATTATCAATAAGTATCCATTGTTATCAGGTTCACATCAATTTAATTACGACTTTACTAAAATGAAATCCGAGTTTCCACTTTTAAAAATATTACTCTATCAATGTATTGGGGTAGATACTATTCTTTAAACAAATTTTATCAAATCTTGAAATATTTCAATTGCGCTATTACTTTTTCACCTCATCAAATCTTATTCAAGCATTTAAAAATAATTTTCCATATTCTCTCTTTCTCTTTAACTCCAAGTAATGAAAATAAAGAGGTCCAACTCTTTCAAACGCAGAAGAATATTAATGAAAAGGTGTATTTGATATTTGAAAATAATTTACTACTAACTAAAGGAATAATTCGATGGTAATCAAATTGGAAGTATTTCAAATATCTTAAAATGTGCGTTTCAAAATAGGAATTAAAATCCTTAATATAGAATGCATGAAAATTTCGCAATAAAGCGCAACAAAGTCAATTTCTATAACCACAAATGAATATTTTATCAATTTTCAATTTGATGATCCAAGAATAACGCAAACATTCAAAATTCCCTGTACCTATATAAATGGTTTTTATTGTGATAAAATCGCTTCATAAGAATTAATTTTTAAATATTTTAACATCATGTTGATCAATTAAAAAAATGTCAATTAATTCAAAATATGCGAGCAGTGTGCGGTCGGGCGTTATCCTGCTGATAAAGGGCATTGGGTACCCCCTGAAGGTAGGGGAGTGTCACCGGTCGCAGCACATCATCAACGTATCGTTGGGCCGTCTTGGTGCCCTGAATACGAAGTAAAGGTGACCTGGAATCATACGCGATTGCGCCCCAAACCATGATTCCACGTTGTCGCACGGTGGGGCGTTCCACAATTGCTGTCGGATTGGACCTTTCTCCACGTCGACGCCACACGCGTACACGGCGACTATCACTGGACAAGCAGAAACGCGACTCATCTGAGAACACGACCCTGTGCCATTCCGTTATCCACGTCAATCTAGCCCGGCACCATTCCAAACGTTGGCGCCTATTCGGTGGGGTCAATGGCAGTCTTCTTAGCGGACGGCATGAGTGCAAGCCATTAGCAACCAATCGACGGGAAATGGTTCTGGTCGAGATGGAATGATCTAGGGTGTCTTGCACATGTTGCAGGATGGCGGTACAAGTGGCTTGTGGGGCCGCCACTGCTTGTCGAAGGATACGCCGATCCACACGTGCTGACGTCACTCTGGTTGTACCGGCATTCCTATAAATTGCCACATTTCCTTGTTCCAACCATCTTCTCCACAGTCGGTGCACCGTGGACGCACCAAGGTGTGTATCAGCTGCGATTTGACGTATGGACCAACCTGCCCTTTTCAGTCCGATCACCATGCCCCTCGTAAAAGCGTCTGTCTGCTTGAACTGCCTCCGTTTACGATGACCTGGCATTCTCTGTTATCACACGTGTCTTTTGACACAAGAACAAAATTTCTACAATGATTTTCCTTGAAGAAATAACGACACGAATACTGTCCTTTCTGCAAGTTCCTTCCTTTATATCTTACTCCATGTGCGCACGAGAGCTGCGCATTTTACATCATTTGCATAACTCGGTTAGGCGCGTCTACCCTGAAATTTGCATAATTTTCTGGCCACTATTTCTTGGTGTTCCATTTTCAATGTCACGCAGTGTATATTGATATAATTTATTCCTTTAAAATATTTTAATTAATATTTATTTAAATATTCTTTAGGAACATTGAATATTCAAATATAATTGGATATTCACACAAGGTTTCTTGATGAATAAAAATTGACAAAGTTCTCAAAGACATCTCAATGCTATATAACTGAAAAATACCGTCTGGCTTTTCAGAGAGTCAACAATGAAGAATTCAAAAGAGATCTAGGACTTGATACAACCCATTAATATATATAGCAGGAAATGAATGGGGATATACTGGCAAACATCAGAAGATGATGCGGTTCTGGCCATGGAAGTCTACAAAAGAAGATATAAGCGGAATAACAAGTCGAATTTGGATCATTTACCTCAATGAGGGAAACCAAAATCTTCGTCCTGCTAAAGAAGAGCGCCCAGGAATAAAGATTATAGAATTCAATGGCTCTCAAATTTTGGATAGGAAAACGAATTCTTCTCTGAAGACAAGTAAGATTTTCTCAACTAGATACAAAATACATAACATCTATTTGTGATTAGGAATATTTGAACTCTATTGACAATTTAAAAACTCGTTTTTTTCGCATTATATGCAACCGCAAACATATCATTCAAATATTTAGAGAAAATAAAACATATCCTTAATAAGTATGGAAGAGGGTCGTTTAAATAACGCGAATAAAAAAAGAAAATATTATTTTTTTAAAAGAGAGAGCTATTTTCGTTATATCTTTAAATCCAAATATATATTTTTTCAACTCTGACACTTACTACAATAAAAAATTATATTTATATATAGAATTTTAATTTAATGAAGAAATATTTTCTAAGATTTATCTGAACATAACTTGGGAATCAAGATATCCGCAAAAATCTATTTTAGTAAATCACTTTTCGTTCAGGATAAAAAGTGATAGGCTTAGAAAGAACCAATTATTTCTCCAGAAGAAAATTGCAAATTTTTATATCCAGAGAGATATTGCAACCTTTGAAAATATTCTTTATATCAAAAATAGTTCATAATTAAATCTTAGCGAGGGATAAGGATTCGATTAGGTTATGTAATAATAAGAAAAAACTATAATTAATTTAGCTACAGAAATTTAAGCCATCAAAAAGGGATTAAACCAATTTAAAATAATTTTAGCTTATCTTTTTCACACACCTCTTCTTTACTTGGTCTTAAAAGAAATGAAGATTTCGTTTGAAAAAATCTGATAACACTATATTCTCATCCAAGAGTTTATCTGCTCACAAGAAAAAATATTTTTAAAAAATTTAGTCAAAAGATTAATTATGCTAAAATAGATTGGGCCTTAATTGATTAATATGTTCATTAAGTGTAATCCAATTAATATACGTGTTATTCTAAGTTTTTTAATTAAGTTTTTATTCTAATTTATTCATAATTTAATTAATTGAACGAGTTGTTACAGAAATTCCTGGAATTTCTAGTTAGATATTAACTGACATGATGATGATGGATTTGATTTTCTAGGATACCAAAATATTATTCTTAAAATAAATTTACATATTTCAAAGAGCACATATAAATTCGAAAAATATCCTTAGAAAGAGAAATAATCGAAATATATATCTATTTTTAATCTTTTATCTATGTTAATAAGAATTTTGAATTATTTTTGATTCTTTTAAAAACAAATCATACGCGTCAAAAATAGTTCTAATTTCATATAACAGATGGCGCGCTATGTATTATATTAATATACGTATGTTAATTCAAAGACATTTGATTTAAAAATAATATTTATGTCAAAAGCGAATTTCCTTCATTTAAACATGAACCAAATATTCTAGAGAGTCTACTTATATAATTGCCTTATTCTGTCTGTGTGAAGTTCACTGTGTGAAGTTCACGGATAGATTTTGGTCAGAATGGATAAAATAAAAAAAGTGTCAAGGGATTGGAATCGAACCCACGACCTTCCGCTTACCGGGCAGATGCCATGACCACTAGGCCACATGACCACAATTTATAATTGTAACAAATAGTATTTGAATCAAAACATTCAATCGGGTAAAACACGGGCGTTGCCCGAGTCATTCGGCTAGTTATAATATATAAGAATAAATACAACTCCACCTTTGCCGGTCCCAAGCCCGGATGAAAAAAGAGGAGGGGGTAACAAGCTCGCTAAAAAACCTGGGTTCAGCTGGCTCACAGCAGCGTTTGTACTCCATGTTAGAAGCGGCTGCATACGGCGTCTGTTCCTCATGTCTGAGGCGGCCATTTCTTTTGGAGCTAAGTCGGCCTGCCACTGAGTAGTGCTCCCAGTCCTAATGACAAAGGCAGACGCATTCTACTTCACCCAGACCCTAATATGATTGAGTGAAGATAAGGAAGAAGAAGTAGAAGAAGAGAATACATACAAAGTGAGTGAAATAAACTAAAACATTGCCTTTCGAACATGTGACAACGAAATTCGGAGATATATATTTAGAAATCAATAAATTCCATCTTCACATTAATATCATAGGGATAAATTACTTACAGAAATTTAATAGCAACTCGTGAATGTAAAATTCATAGAATTAAAGATAATAGAATTACCTGGTACATAAAGGAAATACGCTCTTCTTTTAGCTCTGATAATCAGTAAGGGAACTGTACAATATTATAAACCCCCTAATAAGATTATTTGTACAATACCTTTTGAAACCTCAGCGAGTTCCATGACTATAGACCAATTGACTTTTTTTTTATAAATATTGTTATAATCAATTTGAAAAATATTTTTATAGCAGTAAGGATAGTAGAAATTTGTTTTTTTTTGTGTAAAAGAAACATTAGTGTATAAATGTTTTTATTTTTTATATATAGATGGCTCGTTATTGTTTTATATTAACTTATACCTAACTGGCCTTATTCTTATTGTTTACGGAAGAGCAATACTCGATGCAAATATTTAAATGTAATTATATATAAAATAAAAGGATTTAAAAGCGCGAATGTTTTTTTTATACATAAAACGAACTTCTACTGTCCTTACTGCGATGAAAAAATATATTGGGAGGGCTTGGCTCATCAATGGTGAACCCTCCCAGCGGTTTCGCCAATTTAATCCACCAGACCGCTTCTCAGAGCTCTAATACTGTATTGGATCATTCTGATTTTATATGCTACACTGAAGGATGGAATCTTAGAAATGGTTTTCAAGTAAACTATGGACATAAGCTTATAGGACAGTAGAATTACATTCAAATATTTGCTTCGAGCAATGCTCTTCAGCAAACTATAAATTCCTTATGGCCTTGTCTTTATAGTTTGCTGAAGAGCATTGCTCGAAGCAAATATTTGAATGTAATTCTACTGTCCAATAAGCTTATGTCCATAGTTTACTTGAAAACCATTTCTAAGATTCCATCCTTCATTGCAGCATATATAAGCAGAAACAGTATTAGAGTTCTAAGAAGCGGTCTGGTAGATTAAATTGTCGAAACCGCTGGAAGTGTTCACCACTGATGAGTCAAGCCCTCCCAATATATATTTTTCATTGCAGTAAGGATAGTAGAAGTTTGTTTTATTCTACACATAAAACAAATGTGTTTAAATGTTTTTATTTCTCATATATAGATGGCGTGTTATTGCTTTATATACCGATATTTATTTGGATAGATACCTGTTTACCGATTATACTCATTTAGAATCTTTTATCATTTATCACTTATCATTCCTCAATTAAAATTTAAACTGTACTGTGCACTGTACACAAACTCGTACTGTGCTGTGCAAAAGTATAGATTATTATAATTCGATAACTTAATCACTCATTTCAATATCAAAATGGAAATATCAAGCCTCAAGGGATAAGTTCTTTTTTTTTTTTTAATTCACAAATCTTGCTTTAGTTTTCGGGCATGGAGCCCTTCTACTGGTGTTTTCTCCTGTAGAAGGGCTTTTATGCCTGAAAGATAGAGAGATTTGTGAAAAAAAATAAAATAAACCTATCCCTGAAGGCTTGATATTTCTACTTTAATAAATATTATTATCACAAAGCAATAGCGCGCCATCTGTGTACATATAAAACTAAAGGATTTAAAAGCACGAATGTTTCTTTTATACAGAATACAAACTTCTACTGCCCTTACTGCGATGAAAAAATATATTGGGAGGGCTTGGCTCATCAGTGGTGAACACAATTAAAAGTCATTTCTGAGATTCCATCCTTCAGTGCTGCGTATATAAGTAGAATCGTCCAATACAGTATTAGAGCTCTGAGAAGCGGTCTGGTGGATTAAATTCGCGAAACCGCTGGGAGAGTTCACCACTGATGGGCCAAGTCCTCCCAATATATTTTTCCATCTCGGTAAGGGCAGTAGAAGTTTGTATTATGTATAAAAGAAACATTCGTGCTTTTATATCCATTAATTTTATAAATATTATTATCAATAAATATTCTAATTTGCATTTTTATATCTCGTGTTCCAGAAGAAATTTCAGAGAATGTTGAGAATTCTTTATTATTTCACACATACTAAGCTCTATCAATAGACACCTCAACCTTTTATAGACTCTACGAAACCTCGGATTTCTCTAAACACGGATTCTAAAATCTATACAGATATAGGATAATATAATATGAAAATTGAGGCTTATATAAACACTATACCTATTTATATATGTGATCAAGATTAAAACATAGGAATTGATTTTTTATTTAGTTTCCGACCTCAGTGACTAGCTTTCCCCGAGAAGAGTGACAAAGAGTCACTGGTGTCGGAAACTAGATAAAATAATAGTTTATATAGTGAAAAAATAGTACAAATGTAATATTGTACTGGGATAAGGTGCATAAATTAAGAAAAAAACGTCTCCTTATCGTGCAACTGAAAGTTGCTGATGGCTTGCGCCATCTATCGGAATAAATATCAACTATTCTCGTTGATTTTTGGTCGTTTAGGTACAGCTTGCACCACGCTGATGAGGGCCAACAGCCCGAAACGCGTCCGTGGTTAGCTTTTCTTGATTAATCAAGGATGGTTATTTTGCCAATTCTGGAATAATTAAAAATCAACGAGAATAGTTGATATTTATTCCGACAGATGGCGCAAGCCATCAGCAACTTTCAGTTGCACGATAAGGAGATGCCTTTTTTCTTAGTTTATATAGTATTATATTTTCCGAAAAAACTTCCAACCAACAAATTATCTTCTCAAATTATAAATTTACACCGTTTAGCATGTATAATCGGGATTAAGATGATAACTCTGAAAGATATTTGCTACACAGTGACACACAAGATAACCAAGTATTAATTGTCCCTTCTCTCCCCCGTCCCCCTACAGGCCATACTGAAATGAGAAGCAATATATAGGAGGAGTTTGATTTATTTATGAAATAAACACTCGCGTCTTATAATTTTTCCATTTGTTATATATAGATGACTTGCTATTTGTTTGTATTTAAAAATGATATAAAAATTAATAAAGCATCAAAAATGTAAATACACCTATCCCCCGATTTATACGGTACTTTTTTACACGTTTTCGCTTTTACACGGTTTTCCAAATAAGGTTTTTTTTTTGTTTTTATCGCACTATACTAAATGCTACTGTGATTGAACACATGCGCCGTGTACACATCTCACGAGGAATCTCGAGCTTATGTGCTGACTTGCTGCAAATGCACACTTAGTCTGTATTGCTTCGCATAATTCAATTTTAATTTTCGATTTACACGTTTTTCTCAGGAACGTATCTACCGTGTAAATCGGGGGATAGGTGTATTTTTTTTCAAAAAAGATAGTAATGATGATTAGAATAGAAATTATCTTCTATCAATATATTTCATATGCTAATTGTTTAATATGTATGATAAGAAATCGCTATTTGAACTATGACTTCCCTATAGTTTGGGCAGATTGAAAACTAGGTAAAAGATAATTTTTGCATATCCCATTCAATATAGTATTAGCTTGGAAGGATATTTATGAAAATATAAAGTTAGTTATTAGAATAAATTAGTTGAGGAAATCAAAATGATTCGGGAATAAGTCTCTGGTAGTTCCTTCTATATGAGGATATTCTATAAGAACATTCTCCTGTACGAGGGTGTTCCATTTTTAAAACAACTGTTTTACAACACTGTAGAAAGAAGCAGATGATTCACGTGATGTTATATTTATTCGAAAAAACAAGCCTCGATTCATATTTTATCAAAATATTATTTTTAAATATTCGAAATGCCTAAAATTATAATTTCTCTAGATTTGACCCTTATGGATTTTTGTGTTTTTGGCTTGCTGAGAACTGCTCTTAGATCTAGAAACCCGAAGACGCTGGAGGGTCTCTGGAAAGTTGTCAAGGACTTTTGGGATTATCTTGATCAAAATATCTTTCCTAGAAACATCGATGCTGGGCTGTTACTAAACGTCAAGGCTTTCACATAGGAAACAATAAGTTTTAGAAACAATAATACATTATTTTTAATGAAACACTAAAATCGTTATTTTGAAAATGGGACATCCTCTGTATTATTCCATATTATAAAAACATAAAACTAACTGAGAAAACGAAACAATGGATAACAAGTTTATAGGCTGTGCTGATATATATATATTTTTTAAAACTCCTTTCTTAATAAAAGCTAATTATTTTGAACAAATAATTTCGAAGAGATTACATTTTTATAAAAATGTTAAAGAAAAGGTTTGCTTAATAATGAAGGTTGATGGCGACATGTTATTAATGAAGTCAATTAATTAACGTCTTAATTAGGCTTCGATCATTAATGATTATTAGGTCGTCTGCTCTAGTTAATCACGGCGTGTGATTGGCTGGACAAGTCACGTGTTTGGCACTAATTATTTCATGGATGGTACGCCGAGTGAATAATCTTTTGTCAACAATTTTTTAATGAAATTAATTTAAACGTTGCATGTATTAAACTGGATACTTTGATTTTTTAATAAATTTATATATGGGCAAATTTTTTATGATATGTTATCAATATATATAAATCATATGTA